CTCTCTGATTCTGTACTTGCGTTTCCGCATTCCCCATTTTTTTTATAAGAGTAGCTGCATCCCCTCCTTCCGTGTTGTGTTTCTGGACAATCTTCGGACGAGTGCATCATCTTAATTTGTCCCTCCCCTCATGTTTACTCCTCCTTTTACTTGTAAATAGGAATAGCGCCTCAACTCCTTCAACCTCCCTCCCCCTCCCAGATGTCCTGGTCATCTGTTTGTGTGTAAGTGTGCTGGCCGTCGGCTCCTCACGTTCATTTTTTTTCAGATGACTCCAGCTACAGTGTCTGCTTGCTTGCCTCTCCCCTCGCTTTTTGGCTTGGTTCAATTATTGGTTGGCAAGATGGGATCTAAATTCCGTGCTCCTTTTCGCTCTAATTTTCCAATGGCTTTCGTAACCCTAATCGAATTTTTGTTTTGCATCTTTCCGTATGCTGGTTTCGAGTTTCAGTAAACAAGTTCCCTTTCGTCTGCTTTTTCTCATGCTTCTGCACCTAGGCTCCCACAAGCCATTGAGATAGGTATCTGACAGGAGCATCGCGGTCTTACTTTCTGTTGTCTTATCGTTTAGTCTTGTGGGGCCAAAACCATCCTAAGTAGTAACAGTCCCCTGGTGGTAGCGCACTCTGCATCCTCACTCTGCACCTCAAGACTTGCCCTGACGGACATGAGGTTTCTTTGGGGATTTTGGGCACAGGGGGGGTCCACATCAACCGCCCGGATTGTTTCTTCGGGGTTGCCTCCTCTAGTGCGTTAACTCCAGAAACTAGTCACAAGGCAGCGGTGGCAATCAAACTTATTTAATCACGGTTAACTGTCACCATGTCACACTGTCATCATCGGTCTTTGAGGCATTTCCTAAGGCAGTCAACGCGCTAGACTTCACTCTTCTGCGCGCCGGTAGCATTGCCTCTGCTGGTCATCGACTTGTTATTCGCCAGACCCGAGGGCCTGCTTATTTCGCAGCTTACCTCCGCTTAAGGCCGCTCCACTATCCGCCGCCAGTGGACGCCCCCCGGTAGCCCGCAGTCATGCTAACGGATAGTTCTCGCCAAGAGGTGGGAGAGTGGTTTCTGGACCTTCAGCACTCAGTCTGTCGCTGGAGGAGGAGGTGTCGAGCTGTCTAGATCCACTGCGGCAAATCGTTACGCGCGGGAGCGTGCAGTGTGTGACATCATCGAGTTCTAACAGATCGGGCACCAAGTGCAAATGAGAAGGATTTACCCTGTTGCGCAGCTTGCAGATTTGCCTCTGGTTCAGCGCATTTGAGTGAATACACTTACATAGATGTTGGATTCGGCTAGGTGTTTTCTCGTTGTTGATAGCTAGTGTTCTTCACTCGACTTACTGTCCAACTGCAGTGCCTCTGGTTACTGGATTTCGTTTAGTTTTAACACACGTTGAATCTGAATGCTGTACGGACCCCTTGCACCCTGTCGGGGAGACCGAGTTCTCGTGTGCTCGTCACCGCACATAGCCGGGCATCGTCGGCACGCGTATTGTTCATTTATAGACTGCGGCTAGCTGGTTTTTCTTGCTTCTTGTAATAGGGGCTGGTTGCTGATGGACTGCAGGGTGCTGCTTTAGGTTTAGCACCCAAGTTGTTTGCTCTAGTAACGATGAAGACGGGAAGCTGACAGTGCACTGCCACTTAGTGTGGTGCTTTAGGCTCCCCTATCACAGTGCTCCTGGGCCATGGTCAGGTTTCATATTGAACTAGGCAACAGTAAACGAGTTGTTTCTAGAAGTCGAGATGTGCGTAAACTGAGGGTCCCAGTTTCAGGCTGAGGGCGAAGGTCCTGTTTGGCGTATGAGCTTTTCCGTGCGACGAGTTGTTATCGCTGCCGTTTAGATGGAGTTGTCCTGATCCTGCGCAAGCTCCTCTGTTGTGCGCTATTGCTGTAATTTATGATGGTTTTGTGCACGGTCATCAAACCATGAGGGATCACAACCACCACTGAACAAATCAAAAGTCCTATGCATTCTGTACGAGTCTTTCAGTGCGCCCTCTGACGGACCACAAAAGTGAGGAGCCAGTGCAGCAAACAGCGCGTATGGACACCCTTAGGAAAACTGTGCATAATCCCGCGGTTTACCAATGTTTACTACCAGTCTGCAAACCGAAGACGCTATATAAATTAGCACCTCATCAGCCCAGGCAACAGGACGGGGAGTTAGCGGCAGCGCAACATGTTGAATTGTCCTCATCAAGTTCTTGCAACTGATGCCAAATGGTAGTTCGTCGTGAATCACGATGACCAGTAGGGTTTGGGTTGATGGTGTTAACCCGCGCGCCATATAGATTCTAAAAGGGGGGGGGGATGGATCTTATGGGAGGACATACATGTGCTGTCCGCCAACTGCTCAAGTAAAGATATAACCTGAGGAGTAAATTGACACGAAATGGCGGTGACGTCTGCATTCCATACAATGACTGCGATGAAAGATAATGCCTGTGTAAATCTGAGACCCGATTCTCAAGTCGGGTTCGCGAGACTATGGTAACCAGTACATGTTAACCACACCAGCCGCTGTGCGCAATTTTACCTTCTAACTGGTACTGAGAAAGGAGAAGTGACACCGAGGAAAGCACACCGTTTTTGCTTTAGATAACCCGACGGGCTAAAAATCAGAATTTGGAAAGTTTCCAACTGATGGGATAACTTAGTTCCCCAGAGAACCGAGGCTCAGGTCTCAATGGATCCTTATTGAGAGGGTCATTTCAGAAACTTTTGGGACATTTGAGATCTCTTTGATTTCTGTTTCGTGTGCGTGCAGGAGCCAGCGTCTGCGTGTGGCAGACACTAACCTGGATTTGGTCTTGTCAGCTATTGCGCCCACACCCATTTGCAGTCTTATTGTGCTGGCATTGGGTGTTTAGTCGAGGTTGAGGTAGATGCGTCTCCCGTACTATAAGCCCATCTCAAGCGTAAGTCGTCGCTGCGCCTCGTAGGGAGTAACTGTGCCCCTCACTTACTGCCGTATTCCGGTTGGGGGACACCTTGAATGAGTCCTCTCTCCTTCTGACTTGTCATAATCCGTCGTAGCTTAGAATCCTACGAAGGCAGCCTTCTTTTCATAATTGGATCAAAGGATCTATTCAAATCTGTCAAAACTTCTATTAATAACCTAATATGTTTGACTTAACAACAAAACCCTGTTCAAGTGCTCACTGTGGAGCAGGGGGTGTGAAGGCACGCCTAGGTGCGGTTCCGGCCGTGCCTGCCGCCTGCGTCCTCTCGCGCCTCCGGTCTCCTCGAATATGTCGTGACATCGCGCTCATACGGGGGGAGGGATAAGAGAGTGCGGAAGATGCTGCGCAGGTCTACCACCACTATAAACTAATTCACGCGGTCACTGTGCCTCCACTCACTGCTTTGGAGCACACGGTGGAGGGCGGCAAAGACGGTCAAATGATGCCTGACTTGTTCCAGCCTCCTTCACCTTTACAGATCTGACTGCTATGCGGTGTTAGATATAAACAGTGATCAGCCAGATGGTGTACTCGGCACAGAGAAATAATGGGGAAAAAACCCTAAATGAGTTCTGATGTTTGCCTAGTGGCATTTATGTAGGTGTTTTGAGAGTTGAACACGCGGAGACCCACATGTTAGTACAGGATTATGCTTCATTTTATGACCTCATTTAAGTTGTCTCTTATACTTTAAAGTGTTGGGAAATTTCGGTTCTCGTGAGTTCCTCCGCGTATAATGTTACGGTACTTCCGCAAAATCCACCTTCCCGCGTAGTACAGCAGTACCTGTGCCAGATTTAACGCTCGTCCCAGGTAGTGTTTAGATTATCCCAGCTAACCACACCTGCCCAAGACACTGCGAAATCATCGCGAGCCACCAGTTCCGGATCCTCCCTCGGCAGACTTCACAGTCAACTGATCTTTGCTGGTCGGACCTCAGTTGATTCCTTCGATCATTCATGAATGTGGCTTCCCTGGTGAAATCTCTTATGCTGTCGGAGGGGCGGATGCGGATAAAGGCATGTAATTACACACCCGTCCTACTCGGTTAGTTTACGCCTAGGTCCATGGAACACCGTGGTTGTTTTTGTACTGGCAACAGTCGCACAGAGATTTAAACAAATCTCGACAGCCGTGAATCTTGACGTCTTCCCAAAAAGTCCCTTTTAGTCCGACATAGTACTGACTGCCCACAACGGTTTCGACCGACTGTATATTCGCCCACGGATGCGCCTCGCGGAGCGGCTTTGGCAAAGTACCGTCGACGTTATAAGGGTGCGTGCAACAGAATCTACCTGCTAATTCGTGTTGTTTTGACTGATGCCCTAAATGCACTTAGTCCGGCCTACCGGTTTGCACTCCGACCCCCGTCCTTAACGAATTCGTGCCCGATGAGTGACTCGATCAGGTGCTCGACACCATCTTTCCCCCAGGCCGCTTGGCACGAGGTAAAATAGGCCGCCCACTGGTCCAAAGGACTAACCCATCATAACTGAGTGGAAATCACCGAATGTTAGGCGGGAATCTTCTTCGCCTGAATGAAGTAAACTTTGAGAATAGCTCCGGTTGCTCAAGCGATCGATGCAACACGATGCGCTTCTGCCCCGAATCTCACGGGCACCACGATGACATCAGCGCGGGGAACATCCGCAATGGATGGGTCAAGACCTGCTACAACACCGGCGGACTTGCAAACGAGTTCGAATAATTCATTTGACCGCTGTCCAGGCTTTAGTACTAGTGGCATCTAGACTGCTTTGTGGCTTACCCGAGTGCATTAGCAAAAATACACAAAATATCTGCCTACTGAATACTTGTGGGTAAAAAGGCTATCGAGGACGGGCTACCGAGAAGTTCGAACACCAACGTACTGCGCCCCGATCCGAAAGCAAGCGAGCGACAATTCTAATGTGCCTTTCCAGGATCTACGTCACATAAGACATAGCGGTGTTTTGTACTTCTTTATCTGGTCCAAAAGCAAGAAAAATAAGAGATATATACAAGGCGGTAGACGGCACAAAGGTAGTTAATCATCATCTTTTTCATGCACAATTTTGACCTTCGATCTTTTTGAAGTACCAACAGACAAAAGTTCTGGTTCAGGTTCCTCCTCCAGTTCCAGGGCGTCGGCAAAGTCTTCGATGTTCTCCTCCTCTTCCTCATCAATGTCTGATCCCGAGGTATATACAATTTCCTCTTCCTCCTCGTTCTCGGATTCCTCCTCCATATCCGCGTCAAGTTCCATTTCCTGTGTATCGAGCTCCTCTGCCTCAAGGGCCTGTTCGAAGGCAGACTTGTCAATGTTGTAGATCTCCTTTGTGTTTGTTGCTGCTCGAATTCGTTCCAGCAATTCATTCTCTACGGTCCTGGCCAATTTTGCGATACGTAGGGCCTTTTCCTCCCTACGGCTTTCACGACGTTCCACTTTGCGATTAATCGGTTCCAGTTTCTTTTGCCGGGACAAGGCTAGGCGACGCATCCGTTTTAGATAATCGCGCGTCCGAAGGAACCTCAGCTTTACACGGGTGCGAATCCACCTGTCCCAGTAACGGAGGTGTTTGTTTATCTGTTCTATGGCTTGCTGTTCGTTGCGCTTCAGTTTGATCCGCTCCCACTGCTTAGCAGGATACGGCACTCTTTCTGGAGCTTTGACGTAGAGATAGATGATACCGTCGCGTTCCTTGATAGTAGCATACTGAGAATTGGCCAAAGGGCAAGAATGCCGGCTGCAAAGACCAGTAACATTATCTTCGTTGCGACAGAATTTTCCCGTTTTTGTCTTCACCATGAAGGAACAAAACGATTTGTTAATGAGTTGCCAAATTAGGTCGTCGGTATTCATTGCGACTTCTGAAAAGAAGGGGAGGTGTTCATTAACTTTGTGACCAAACAGTTTAATTCCTTTCTAACTTAAAATATGCCTAAACTGCAGTAGTTTTATCAATAGGGAAGCTGAACGGCTATTTACTGTGAAAATAAGAAACAGTTTCAGCTAAAATGAAATGCGGGTTTTCGAGGCGAGGTCTGGTCCTGCGGTCCAACTTGATTGACACCATACGGTTGGCTTACTAAAACAGTTTTATTTGACACACCTAAGTTAGCTACTTGTTGGATTAGGTGGGGAAAGAGCGCAAGCAGAGCTCGATGCACGGACAGGGAAGCGCGCGTGAACGGGTGCTGGGTGCAACCGAAGGTAGCCACAGCCCTTAAAAAGTGGACGGTTGGTGCAGCCCAATCTACATAGTTCTACTGAAATATACCGATGAATGTCCAAGAACCCCTTAGAAAACTGGACAGATTGCGTCAAAACGCCTCGCTTGCGGGACAGCTCTACAGTACCGGTGGACATGAGCCTCTCATTCTCGCTTGCTTTCCGTATGTATACTATAGAAGAATGCAAAACGTATACGGAATTTTTAATCTGGATAAATACAACGGGCCTCGAATGAACTCTAGTCCCTTCCCCTTTGAGAAGAGTCGCGTGAAACGCTGTGCACACGGAGTACACCTCACACATTCGGAACGGGCCAAGCAGACATTTCTTGCGTGGAAGTCCGTCAGTGCCCAGTTAATATTCTTACTACGGAAAGACATTTTAACCAACATCATTTCCAATTACAGCCTAAAACTTGCTACTGAACATCGCGATAAAATACTGCCTAATTGTTTGGAAGGACTGCGCATTTGTCTTGGTACCCAACGCAAAGTGGCTCGGCTGTTGAGGGGCGCTGATTAAAACCGACTGTCACCAATACTTGTAAACAAAATCAAAAACACCTTTTAACACATGATGCTAATGATCCCGCATTCTTCAGATCAACTTTATTCAGCTGGGCACACAAATGCCGTACGGCAGCGCCTTGCAAAGAAGGATCGCAAGGACTGCTGGAAAGTGACAACCTTTGTGAGGCAACCGAGGCACAGCATGTTCTGTCGTCTCGGGAAACGAGATCCGATATGCGAGGAAGATTTGGGCGCAACAGACAACAGAGCTTGGCGACTACAAAAATGATCTTCGCGACAAGGTTGCTTCCAGATAATGCAGCGGCCTCTGCCGAGCGATGTCCTGGACGTTTATCTCTACTGTCGACCGTTGGGAACCCCTAGCAGATGCGTCACCGTAGATGCTGTAGTTATGCACTTCTTCAACCACAAAGGTCGCTGTCCTTAACATTCCTTCAACAACCCCCCCAACCCCCGGACGAACTCATGTTATTCTTGTAGTAAACGTGTAGTATGGTCCACTTTAGAGATTGTTGGGCTCTGGCGTCTTTTGCGTTTGGGAACGGTCAACTACTTATGAGGGTCTACCCGATTAGCAGAAAAAGTGGGCATAACTTGTTCGTGGCGGCGTGAACACGGCACCTGGCTAAACTAGGACTGGTGATAGCTATCACACGTCATGCTAAGTTCTACGACAAGCGGTAGGATGCTGATGATGAAGCAGGAGTGAAATGCCATTTAGATAATTAGTGGCCAAGAGATGGTTACTAAGGCGAAATAGGAGGTACACGTTTCCCAGACAAAGTCATACACGAGGGTTACCTTGGCTAGCACGCAAAAACTAACATCAACCATAAATTCACGGTTCTTGTAATTATTAGAAAGTACTTACGCATAAGCTGAATGCGCGCCCTGATTCAACATCGAACATAACTGGAGTATTAAGGCTTCAAAACGAGAACGTCAGGCAAAAGTGTTGTAAACAAGAGTCTAGTTAGTCGCTTCGGGATGTAGGGGTGTCCATTTGTGGGTCCACGTGAAGGTCGTAGTAGGTCGCTCACTCGCATGCAGGTGTGGACTACGCCTAGTGTCCATTAACTGGCACCCAACTCTCACATGTGGTTCCCAGGAGTTAGGTTCAGCCTAGCTACCACACCCCGGGTAACCGTCTCGACCGGCGGGGTAGACCAGATGAGGGTATCCATGTGTGCATCTCTGCACACGGTAACTCGGCTCAGCTGGCCTAAAGGGTCACCGCCTCAGTATCCCCGAGATGGGTCTCCGTCTGGAACACCAAAGGAGGCCACAAGGAAAGTGACCGCCCGGGTAAGCGGACATTGCTATGCTGCCTTTGCTTCTGGTTGTTCTTGCTTACTTGCTTTCTGTCTGCTTGTTTGTTTGTCCTTGCTGTATGCTAACTGCCGTTCTGTTGAATTCGTTTGTTCGCCGTTTACAGTTCAGCAACTAAATAACTTATAGAGGGACAGGAAACTCTGATTCCCGTCTCTGTACCCTTCACCAATCCCCCCAACCCCCCTTCAAAGCCCTACGGCGAGAGCGACAGCGATCTTGTAGGTGGCCTAGCCTAGCTAGGGTCGTTCTCTCACCAAACAAAGTGCCGGTCCATGGTGGAGTCCGACAGCCGTCTAAGATGTCCGAGCAGCCGTATTTAGGGACAGCACTGCTCCCCCCGCGAGGGGGAAGGGGCCAAACAAATGCTGGGACTCACGTCCTCTGCGCGCTGATCGTGGCCCGCAGACCCAAAACGCATGGTCGAAACAATCAAACCAGGAACCATACCCTCTCTCTTCTCCCTCCTCATCTGCACCGCCCCACTCAACAGACTAGTAGGGTGGGTCCGCTCACTGGCAGCCTGGAGTGTTTGTTCCCTTTAGACAATCCTAGGAGCAACCGATCGGAACGGAGGACGGCGCCAATGGCCAGGAAACCGGCGCGCTACAAGGTGAATATCGCCGTACTCAGTGAAACCCGGTTCTCCGTACAAGGCTAACTAGAGGAGATAGGTGTCGGTTCACCTTCAGATGCGGTCGCCCCAGGACAGAGCGACGGCACGCGGGCAGAGCCTCTGCCATCCGGAACGGCATCGTAGGACGACTGCTCTGTCTGTCGCAGGGCATCAACGATCGCCCGACGAG